TACTGGAAGTATCCCGGAAAAGCTCTGCTGCATTCAAGGAATGCATTTGCTTTTCTGAAAAAAAAATCGGAAAAACAGACGCGTTCTTTCAGCATCCCCATAAATCTTGTTTTACAAGGAAGAAGGGATATTCTGAAACAGGGGGTTTTTTTTCGACATTTGGCCCTGCGTAGATGAGCCAAATGTTGGAAAAGCCTCTTTTGGAAGAAAAGTAGAAAAAGATATACAAATTGCAGTTCGCAATTTGAGTATCTTTTTCTGACTTTTCTTTTTAGTGTAGACATAGACTTCTTCACATTTACTTGGTTTCCTTCAATACCTCTTCCTGCTTCTTTCCATCTTTTTCAGCCTCATCCTTTGTTGCTTTCACTCTTTCTTCCCAACCCCCTTCTTAGATTTTAGCTTCCTTGTATCTTCTATATTGCCAAAAAAGAGTGTTTCATAAACATAAAGCAGCTACACTGAAGGGGTATGTCCACACTAGCCCCCTAGTTCAAACTAGGAAGACTAATGTAGGCATTCAAAGTTGCAAATGAAGCCCGGGATTTAAATATCCCAGGCTTTATATGCATCTTCCTGTCCGGGCGCCATTTTTAAATCCCCTTAGTCTGAACTAACTGCCCACGGCTACACGCGGCAGTCAAATGTTAACTCGAACTAAGTCCTTAGTTCGAGTTAACTGTTACACCTCATTCCACGAGGTGTAACAGTTAATTCGAACTAAGGACTTAGTTCGAATTAACGTTTCACTGCCACGTGAAGCCGCGTGGCAGTGAGTTCGGGCTAGTGAAATTTCAAAATGGCGAACGGATGAAAACATGCAAATAAAGCCCGAGATATTTAAATCCCGGGTTTCATTTGCAACTCCGGTCACCTCATTTGCCTACCTAGCTTGAATTAACAAGCTAGTGTAGACATACCCTAGGTAACTAAATGATCAGGCCTGCTGGCAGGAGGGGAAAAAGGGGTCCAATGATTCAAAATGGGCCAGGGCTACTGATGACTTTTGTTGCTACTACTGCAGTAGCAGTAGCCCAAGGTTCAGGCCCTTAAATTGTCACTGGCATCCCACTCTAGGAAGCATTGAAGTCTTCCTGTGGGAGATTAGCCCCAGCACTCCTTTCCACCTGAGGACGCTGCCCCTTCTGTGGGTTCAGAGCAGCCTTCCTCTCACCTTGCCCAAGGGTGATCACCTTACAATATATTTTAGAAATGTGCAGGTTTTTATGTCTATCTGTCTTGTGGGTCTATCCATCTGTGAGTCTATTTGTTCAAGAACTCCTCGTAAAGGGTAAGCACTAGAACCACCCCATTTGGCATGCAGCTTCCTCTTACCAAACTTAAAGCAAGGTCAGGGTTTGATTGTGTCAGGACAATGGAGAATGCATGGAATTTGATTGTTTCTCATACAATGGAAAGAGATGGGTCTCATAGGAGGGAGTTATACTGCAGAATGACCTTGGGGGGCTGAAAGAGGCCAGAGATGGGAGCTTGGACAGCTACAGCCCCATTGAGCCAGTAGGTAGCCGGGATGGAAAAAGGAACAGCTATTTACTATATACTTCAGAAAATTTGTCTATTTGTGTGTGTGTTTGTCTATGTGTTTGCCTATCCCCCAGCTGGGGTACATGCCCCCCTCCCTCGGCTGTGCCCACTGCAGCTTTAGCTGCCATGGACAGGTGCTTCTCACCTGGCCCCAAGCTACTGCAGTAAGAGAGGGCTGGGGTTGTCCTCTCTCCCCAGGGCAGACTGCACACTGAACCTCTCATCTTCAGCTCCATCCCAGAGCAGTGATTTAAATGAAGAAAGACAAAACTGATTTGAGTTAAGGATCTGAGGAACTCCGGGTAAATCTTCTAGTATGTAAATATTTAGGAATAACTTCCATAAATTCTCCATTGTTTTTGATATTCAGAGCATTTGAAAACCACAGTTGGTGTTTTCCTTTATGCCAGGCAACAAATATCCTTCTCAGTCTATTGAGAATCAAATTGCAGGTAACATGCACAAAACTTACAAGTAATAGAAAGTTTCCTTTGCACTGAAAACGGCTAACAGGATCATACATTCAAAATGCTAAGATAAAGAGACATTCTATGTAAGTCAAAACGAATGAGAAAACATACAGCAAAATGGACAACTACAGCTTGTAACAGCATTGCAATAAGTATTTAACTAAAAGTATGGAACAAAAAACAGGACTATGAAGCACTTTAAAGACTAACAAGATGGTTTATTAGGTGATGAGCTTTCGTGGGCCAGACCCACTTCCTCAGATCAAATAGTGGAAGAAAATTGTCAAACCATATATACCAAAGGATACAATTAAAAAAAAGTGAACATTTCTATCACTAACTAAAACTATGTTTGACATGAGTTGCATAACTGTAGCAATTTCCAAGAGGTTTTTGGGCTCGCTTCCCTCTCCATTTGTCTAGTGGCGATGGTTAGTGTAGCACGCAGATTCTGCAACTTTCTAAAGAAATGCACAGACCAGTAACAAACTCTTCTGGGATCAATGCTGCCACAGTGCATGGAGTGGGATTTTCAGAAGTGTTCATCATCAGCGGCTTTCTGCTCCCCTTCAAATCAATGTGAGTTTCATCAAAGCTCCATCCACTAACTCATAGATAAAAGAGCATTGCAAAGAAGCAATGGAAGAGAGCCAACAAAAGCACTAAAGAACTGAAAATGTTTTCCCCTTCTTTCTGTCATAAGATGCAGAAGCAGCCAGGGAAGATTGCAGTTCATTCAACAATACCTAAGAATAGAGCCACTTGGTCTAACAGAACCCCATGTAATACAAAATGCATCAGCACATCTGATTAACAAGACAGGTAGCTGTGAACATATCATGCCAGCATGCTCTGTGCTCTGCACTGGCTCCCTGCTGAATGCAGAATCAGTTCAGAGTCTTTACCTTGATAATCAAAGGCCTGCATGGAACTAACCCGAGCTACCTGAAAGAGCCCAGCTGCAACAATGCAAACGTTGGTCAAAATAAGGGACTCCTGAGGAAACTTTGTTGGGAATTGTTCGCTGAGGAAAAATGCTGGTTTATTGACACTGTTTGGAAGAGAGGACTTATTTTGACAATTTTCTAACTAAAAAATAAATAAATAAAGAGTTGAAATCATCCAAAGGTTTCGTTTTGATGACTTCTGTGGAAAATTTCCATTTTTGCAATTCAAAATTACTTTTTATTTAAAAACTCAAGCTAATAAGAGTAAAAGGTTAATTAAGAAAAAAGTCAAAGTTGAAACAAAATGTTCTGATTGGCCAATACCACTGCCTCCCATGCTCTACACATCCCTAGTTCCCCAGTCCCAAAATTAGTTTTTTGGCTCATGAAAATTTTCAGGATTGTGGCTTTTCTTTGTGAGTCAGAATAGGAACAAAATTTGCACCTAATGAAAGTTTTCATGGGCAGGGAAAACTGTTTCCCCATCACCCTAATAGTCATCACTTCCATGAGGCAGATCTTCACTACAGAACTCACTTCTGCAAGAGGAAAGCCAGCCATGAAACTAACCTCTTTAAGTGTGCATCTACACTGCACCATAGCCCAAAATAAGATGCAGTTTGAGCTATGCAAATTATGTATCATTACAAAATAGCTTATTTTATAATTTGGTGCTGTCTACAAGCACCAAAGTTTGAAATAAAGTACTATTCCAAAATGTCCCATACTCCTCATGAGGTGTCCAGTGCCACTGGAATAGCAAGCCCATTATATTTAAAAATAATGGGTTTGCTATGAAGACGTGGGATAGCTATTTTGTGATACTCCGGTATCCCAAAATAGAGTTGCGGTGTAGATATTGCCTAAGGGATAAATACAGAACTGGATAGTGATAGAAATGGATACTTTCTAACAGAACTGGATACTTTGACTTGGGGAGGAATGTGTGTCTAGAACTTACTGTGGGACAGCTATGATCTAACCAGGCTATTTCTCCAGAAGGATGGGGAAAGAAAGATAAATGCATTTGTCATTTCTGGTTTGCTATACTGGAAAATATTCAGACACTCTAGCAACAGCAGCTAGATAAACGTGATCCACCTCTGTCTGCTTGTTTTTCCCACAGTCATATGAAACAGATAATATGGGATAGTACTACCTCATTAGGGGTGTGTCTAGACTACAGGGTTTTGTCAACAAAAGTGGACTTTTGTCGACAAAACTAAACCTGCATCTACAGTACCGCTGAGTTCTGTCGACATAACGTCGACAGAACTCAGCAGTTTTGTCGACGCTGGTAAACCTCATTTTACGAGTAATAACGCCTTTCATCGACAGAGTTCTGTCGACAGAAGGCATTATTGCATCTAAACTGTCCTTTGCGTCTACACTGCCATGTCGACAAAGCAGTTTGCTTTGTTGACAGAACTGGATGTAGTCTAGACGCTCTTTATCGACAGAAGCTTTGTCGACTGTATCTGTCGACAAAACTTCTGTCGACAAAAGCCTGTAGTCTAGACGTACCCTATGATATGTGATCATTGTGTACACATGAAGATAAAAATATTCTAAATCCTGGTCAGTGGGAAAAAGCTTCTTCCTCTACTCCAGATTCAGTTGACAATTCAACCTTAGACAATAATCACCACTGGTATTTCTGCAATTCTATATATTTCCAGGTTACCACCAATAGCCAAATGATTGTCTTCCTTCCCCTTTACTTTGAATTCAGGTCAGGTGAATACTAGCAGCATTTCATACAGTGTATCTGTAAAAGAAAACACTTTAAATAATTTGAGTTAGGCAGAACTGTTTCAGTCAGTTATGAAACCCTCCTATTTATCCAGAGGTTGTTTATGATTTTTCCTTCCTATCTGTAAACTGAATGCTCATCGTGAAATCTACTATATCCACTCTACCTCTCCTAGTTAAAAGTAGAACAACTTTCCTTCATATTTTAAAATTAAATTATTTCTAGATTGTATTATGCTTCCAATCTCTTTTTGTTAAGAAAATTACCTTTCATATTTTCATGCAGCATTCTGAAATCACACAAAAGAAATAAGTTCTCATATTTGAAAGCAATGATGGAAAAGGTAAAGAGATGGCTAGCAAAATATCAGAAGATCCTATTTGCATCAGATTTCTCCGCATGAATGCTCACAGTTCCAGCTGAAACTAAGTTTCTCCATAACAGGAAAGGTAATTAATTCAAAACAAAAGATACATTAGCCCATACATAAAATATAGAAGAGTAGTAATGGTTCAAATCCCTACATCATGCAGTTATAATTCTATAGTATTCTGTGTTAATATTATTAACAGTATTTTATTTTTAAATAATGTAGGTTGCTTCATTGCATCTAAATGATCAGTCCTTATGCAACAATAGAGTATGCTAGCAAAAACATTTAAAAATTCTTTAAAGGAATTTAATTTGTTTCCAAGAAAAAGAACAGCATTTAAGGTCTTAAAAAGAGAAATTTCTTTCTAATAGTTTTCCGTCTAAAGTGTAATG